GGCCCGGCTGATTCATTAAAGCCTTCGTTGCCGTTGATGTTGTTGTTGCTCAAAGTTTACTTTGCGGCATTTTGCACATTTGACCATTGAGTCAAGGTGAACCGCGAACGCGCTAATCTTGATCTCGTTTGCCTTCTGCAAGTGTCTATCTGTATCTGTGCATCTCTGTCAGTACTTGTATATGTATCTGTAGCTGTATCTGTATCTGTGTGCATTAGCAAATTTGAAATATTCATTTCGGTTATCTGAACAAACGCATCTCCGCTGTTTGCGATTTCCATTGATTTATAACCGCTCTGGTTTATCGAAGGGCAGTCAAATGGGAGCGTTTTAGAAACGTGTCTGTAGAACTGGCAAACAAATAACTGTTCCGAATTGCATTTTTCTCAAACTAAAGCCTTAACTTCCCAAAGCGAAAAAACTCGTACCCTAATAAAACGATAAGAAAATCTACGGATTTGCAAGTAACTATTATTCCTGGAATAAAATAAAAATTATTCACTTGGTGTTAAGGAGAATTTTGAGTCATGTATTTTTTGTTATACCTCTCAAAATTATAAACAAATTTTTGTTTAAAAAACGAATTATTAATTCATAAACATTTTACAACCAACCTTGGTTTTCCAAAAAACCAATTACGTACTTGTTATAAATATTTTTCGGCTGTCTTGGCGCCAAAAAAAAAATATATATTTTTGACCTATCTTTGGCTGACGAAAGATACGGATACAAAAAACCATGTAATGACCATGTGGGCGCTCATTATTTCTAGCCAGGTTTTTTTCGCGTTCGTTGAACTCGCAACGGTAAATTTACAACGCGCACAACAACAGCAACAACAACCTACGCCAACATGTAAAGTTCTAAAGCAAAAGATAAACAGCAAAGCGAAAATTGAAAACTAGCAGCAATAACAAAAAAAGAAAGAAAACGAGAAGATCAACAAACGTCAAACGTCAGCAGCGGCAGGCAACAACAAATATCAACAAACTACTTTGTATTTATAATTATTATCGCAGTTCGAGTATCTGTGTGAGTGCTCGCTCGCGTATCTCACGGATACACACACTCGCACACTCGTTTGGCTTTGCGCAAACTATTTAGAACGTGTAAATTGAACAGAAAAAACCTGAAAAAAACTATTTCGCTTACAGCTGAGCGTTGAGCGCTGCTGGCAGAGCAGGCGGCAGCGCTGCCAGCGTCGCAGTCTCGCACGATAAGGCGCCACTAACTGAAAGTTGAAGGCCATTACTGATACGCCCCGTGCGCCTCATAAGTAGGTACTACTTTTTTACCCTCATTTTTTATACTCTCGCAAAAAGGTATTTTAGTTACGCTGGAAAGTTTGTTGTGTGGAACAGGAAATTTTTACTTCTTAAATATTTTCCCAAAAAAAAGGTCATATTTTAGGTTTTCCTTTTTTTAAGATTAGTAAAAGTAGATCGTACTACAATTTTGAAAGTTTTGGGAAATTGATAGGCCTAGTTTAAATATTTTTTTCTAGCTTAGGCACATATTTTTTAGGAACCACAGGTCTCTTGATTTATGATTATTTTTAATGATCATGACATATTTATAATTGAAATCCCAAATTGAAATCAATTCTTAAATTTCAATCACTATCTCTAACCTAAAAGGTTTTAGGTTATAAAGACATTGGTATATTATTAAAAAAATATCGTAATTTGATTTTTATACTCTATGATTTTTGTAAAATGATTTGTAGAAAAAATAATTGAAACTTGTGGATGCTTTAGAATTTTTTAATTAGATCAAAATAAAGGTTTAATATTATTCGTTCGCCCTAAAGAATAAGGGTACCGTATCTTCGGCTTCTTTAATCGCTCTTATTTGCTTACTGTGTGACTGGCAGTTAGCGTTGATTATCTAAGTATGCTGTTGACGCGTGACAAAATGTTTTTTTTTCCCATTAAACTTTTCCCTCTGCCGCTTATCTGTATCTTGTGCTTTGTATCTGCATCTTGATATTGATTCGCCGAGCGTTACAGCAACACGTTTTAGCGGATGGGTGGCGGTGGTGGTTGAGCGGCATTTAACATATTGCGCAATTTGCTGATCGTACCGCCTCCGTTCCCGCCTCCGCCCTCCCTCGCCACACCCCCAAAAGCTAACGCGCTCGCTGATAAGCGCTAAAATATTTTTAAACAATTTACGTAAGCGCAACGGACAGACGCCACTGTTGTTTGAAAGTAAAAGTTCTCATTAATTAAACAGAACAATCGGAGAAGCGGCAACAAAAACAAAAAGAAAAACAGAAAAAAACGCGAGCGGCAAACAACTTTGTGTTTGCATTCATAGCAAATTTGCATTGAAAGCGCAAGTGTAAATAAAAACTGCAATCGCATGCAACGCCAGCGTCGACGTCGAAGTCGACTGCACTGCCGCCCGTCAACGAAAACGAAATTGAATGAAAAAAAAAATGTTTATAAAAAGCACAATGCGTCGAAATTGCTTGGTTGGTGTTTTTTTTTTACTTTGGCGCCGGCGCTGGCTACGTTGCGTTCTATTTTATTTTTTAACTTCCCCCGACTTTGTAAATAAATGGCCAGTAAAGTTATTAAGAAAAAGTCAAGCTAGAATGACACAATTAAAAGAGATTTTATATTTACAAAATGATTTATGGGCGACAGAAGTTTATTTTGCGACTGCTGCAGAACCGGATTTCAGAGAGGGCAAAATTAAATAACTTTTTGGAGGATTGATTGTATGTGAATTTAAATTAAAAGTATTCTTATTAAATATTTTCCATTTCATTTTATATAATTTTATTTAATCGAAGTAAATTGTTATGAAATTAAATGTGAGTTCTACTGATAGCAGTAATTAGCAAAAAAGTACCCAAGTTTGACAACATTCCTGCTAGTGTGATAAATACTTAATCCTTACAAAGTATGTACTGGTCTTAATTTATTTTCACTTCTATGAATCAGTTTTTACTGATTTGAGTGACAATCGAAAAAGATAAGTATTGGGTTTCCCTTTGCTATTTTGGACGCCAATATTTATTACCCTTGGATAGTAAATCCATAAATTATTTCTTATCAAAAAACTATAAACAAATTTCAAGAAAATACATAAATTTGCAAATAAAACAACTGAATTCTTTAAAAAGAATTACAATAACAAAAGGGTTTGTTATAAAACACGTGATTGAATCATACCACACACAATTGCGAAACTAAAATTGAATTCAGTAAAATTTAAATTTTAAAAACTGAATGCACTTTGTCTTGCGAAATGTGCGAGTAAAAAAAGCGGAATACATATGGAATAATGCAGATTTAGAACGAGAAAAGATACAAATGCAACACTTTAAAACTCTTTTTTCAAAAAGAAAAGATTGGAAAAGAATTTACGAAAAAGTTGTGGGCGAATGAAAATAAAAGTTAACATTTGAGGTGATTTTAGTTTATTTGGGCTGCTTTTGAAAGCACACCAAACAAAAAAAGAAAGAAATTAAGAGAGGGTAGTGGGCGGCGGGCAGAGTGAGAGAGAAGATCGTCAATAAAAAACGCTTACGACAGCGGCCTTTGTAATTGTTATTATTGCCAGAGCATACATATAAGTACATATACCCAACCGATCTAATCTCTTTCGCACGCGCGCAGCCACTCTCGCTCTCTCTCTCTTTCTCTGTTTGCCCCACTCCTGCCCTCTCTTTCTTGCCCCATCTACCCCTCTCCTTCACTCTCCGTTGGATGCCTCTTTCTCACGGTCAGCAATTCAGTTTGCGAAAAAGTTCTTTGACGTTTTGTTTATTTATTTTGTTAAGCGCTCAGCGTCGCCGGCAAAAGCTTAAAGCTCTCACTATCTCTTAATTTCCCTCTCTTTTTATATGTTTTTATAGGGCCTTTGGGTATACCTATTATACTCTATTAAAAATGTTGTAAATTTCTTTTAAGAACTAGTATATTTTAGTCTTATGATCAAGATTGATATTTATTTAATGTCAAAATATATGTTTTTTTCGTAATATAACATTTAAAATATCATTTATCGCGTGTGTAATAAGTCTTAGGGCTCCCGAAGAACCCATTTCTACTAAATTCAGCACAAGAGCAACGAAAACAAAAGTGTTTCTTATCAAATTTTTTAGACTCACCACCCCCCTATTTGCTACCCTCTGTAAACCCCCAGTAGAACTTTGACCAAAGGCCGTTAAGATTAGGCTGTGCGGATTCCAGGCAATTGTAATAAAGAAATATCAACATAAACTCTATTCTTAGGCGGCTGTGTAAGTGGGTGTGAGAGGGCTCAATAAATTTTGCGATAGATAAGCCACAAAAACCATCCATTATGCCACCAGTCCCCTTTCTCGGGTATGTCAACCAAATTTGCATGGATTGCTCGTCTATTTGGCCGAGTAATTAACAGTTAGCCAGCAGCCAAACATGGCGGCAACATGGCAAAATGGCAATTAACACTCTAATACAGATGCAACTGTGGAGTTTCGTGCAGTTTGCGGAGTTTGGCACCACCGGCCGCAACAACAACACACATCGTGCGGTTTGTTATCGGGCACCGGAAATGCAATAAATAATTGAGAACAGCCCCGAGCTTTTGGCAATTGTAATGAGCAATTGTGTTCAATGACAAATTATCATTGGTATTTCTTGTACAATGCCTATACACGTTACACACGCCCACAATTGTGGGCGGCTGGAGCGGCCGCCGATAACGATAACGGGTTCGAAGAGCGTATTGCTTCCGTTTCCGCTTTCGCTTCGGGAATAGTACGAAAATAGAACGGTCTGAAAATAAATAAACTAGGTTGATATGGGTTCAAAGTTTGAGTAGTAGTAGTTCCACAAAATAATGTGTTCTTTTAGGTTCCTTGAGATAAACAGACATTAAATGAAACATTGAAAAGAAATACACTTATTTCAATGGACTTTTCGGTTGTTTTGCCAATGCCAAAATAATTTGATGTGTTTTTAATATTTTACCACATACTTATTCAACTTTTTCCCACATTACAGGTACAACACTGACCAAGGAGCGATGGACCAGCAATTCTGCTTGCGCTGGAACAATCATCCCACAAATCTGACCGGCGTGCTGACCTCACTGCTGCAGCGGGAGGCGCTATGCGATGTCACGCTCGCCTGCGAGGGCGAAACAGTCAAGGTGGGTCCTTTGAATATTTGCAAATATTCCAAAAGACTAACTCATTCGTTTTTCCCCCTTTACAGGCTCACCAAACCATTCTGTCAGCCTGCAGTCCGTACTTCGAGACGATTTTCCTACAGAACCAGCATCCACATCCCATCATCTACTTGAAAGATGTCAGATACTCAGAGATGCGCTCTCTGCTCGACTTCATGTACAAGGGCGAGGTCAACGTGGGCCAGAGTTCGCTGCCCATGTTTCTCAAAACGGCCGAGAGCCTGCAGGTGTGTGTTGATCAGGGAATACTGGCTTACATTTTAGAGGTCTAAATAATTGAAAGGAAACGTTTTTTTTTATTTTGTACTTGAAAAAAGATCACAATAATATATCGTGCCGGCCAAACTAAAAAATTTAATTATTAATTCATTCTTTAGACCCTTATTTTGTTAAAACTATTGTCCGTAAAACCAAAAATTTTCCATTGAGCAATTAATTAATATTTTTAATTGGGTACAACTTAAACTAAAAATTGTACAAAAATTAAGAATATTATAAATTTTAAGAAATGGATTCCAGTAACCTAAAAAAAGTATTTTAAAAAAGTAATTTTAAACAAATGCATTAAATTTTGTATATTAGATTTAAAAAAAGTAAATGTACTCTATTTAAAGTCAATTTCCTGAAGGAATATTACTTTTTTATGTATATTAAATTGCAAACAAATCCAGTATTTTGTTAGATTTAAAGAAAATGTTTTCCAAATTTTTAGAAATTTGGGGAATACCCCAATGTGTTTACCGCTTGCAAAAGCACTAAATAATTTGATAAAAAATATAATAATAAAATATTTTTTTGTTACCTTTGCAGGTGCGTGGTCTCACAGATAACAACAATCTGAATTACCGCTCCGACTGCGACAAGCTGCGCGATTCGGCGGCCAGCTCGCCGACCGGCCGTGGTCCGAGCAACTACACCGGCGGCCTGGGCGGCTCGGGGGGCGTGGCCGATGCGATGCGCGAATCCCGCGACTCCCTGCGCTCCCGCTGCGAACGGGATCTGCGCGACGAGATGACGCAGCGCAGCAGCAGCAGCATGAGCGAACGCAGCTCGGCGGCAGCAGCGGCGGCGGCAGCAGCAGCAGCGGTGGCCGCAGCCGGAGGCAATGTAAACGCGGCCGCAGTCGCTTTGGGCCTGACCACGCCCACCGGCGGCGAACGATCTCCGAGCGTGGGCAGCGCCAGTGCAGCGGCTGCGGCAGCGGCGGTAGCAGCGGCAGTTGCAGCGGCCGCCAATCGAAGTGCCAGCGCCGATGGATGCAGCGATCGCGGCAGCGAGCGTGGCACTCTTGAGCGGACGGACAGTCGCGATGATCTGTTGCAGCTGGATTATAGCAACAAGGATAACAACAACAGCAACAGCAGTAGTACCGGCAACAACAACAATAATAATAACAACAACAACAGCAGCAGCAACAACAACAATAGGGAGCGCAACAACAGCAGAGAGCGGGAGCGGGAAAGAGAGCGTGAGCGTGAGCGGGACAGGGACAGGGAGCTGTCCACCACGCCGGTGGATCAGCTGAGTAGTAGTAAGCGCAGACGTAAGAACTCATCATCCAACTGTGATAACTCGCTGTCCTCGAGCCACCAGGACAGGCACTACCCGCAGGACTCTCAGGTGAGCAATCGATGTAGTTTAACTAATAACCATAAAACATAATAGAAAAAAATTTGTTAAATTACCCTCTATAACCTATCGGAACCCTTAAAGATTATAAATAATGATGTATAGAGTTCTCAAGAAAAGTATTTCGTGAACCCTGGTTTGCGTATACTTAATTTTCATACGAATACGAATCACGTATACGCAATGTGGGACGCAGAAAATTAAAAATCTAGCTAAAAATGTGTTTTCAAAAAAGTTTTAAATAACTAAATTACTAGTGTAGCTTAAAAGACTTCAAACATATTTATTATCAAAACGAGAATATATTTTTATTTACGCCTCAATTACCTACATTAACATATTTTGAAAAAAAAAATACAAAACGTACGCAGGCTTCTGCATAAAATATTAGCTTAGGACCCCAAGGCTGGCCTTCCGTGTTTATTTAATTGTTTTATTGGCCAGCTCTCTGCCCTCGTAATTAAATTACCTCTGTTTCTGGTTTTTTGTTTCCCACAAACATACCTAAACAATTTGCCAGCTCTGTCAGTCAACAATTCCGCATTTGAAATTTAAAGCAATGTTTTTTTGCGGTTTGTACTTTAATTGCCTGACAATTAAAATTAATTAGAAATTATCTCACATCCAAACAGGCGTCAAATGCTTATTAGTTACAGCTTAATTATGTTATTAAAATTGTATAAAGTGTTTAAGTCAGATATGATTTTTAAATTTATTTTAAGTTGTTAAATTTACATATATCTTTGTTTATTGGCATTTATTTGGTCTTTTCATAACCTAATTTAATTGTATCGAGAAATAATTCTTTTGTAATCCTTTAGTATTTTGATATTTTAAAAAAAGTTCATTAGTGTAAAATTGATTACTTTTTAACTACCTTTTCTTTTGTACATAATTAAATAGATCAAAGAACATCTTTTTTAGGGATTTCAAAAAAAATACAGCACCTCTTAAGAATATAAGCTTAAAGAATTTCGAGGATTATTATTTGATACCAGTCTAGATACCCGAAATAAAATCTAGAAAAACCCAGTTTTGGCTTAGGGTTTATCTATCTGGCATATTAACTATATTAGGCCCACCATCCTGTCGGTTGGCCTTCGTGCCGTATTGCCATAAGCTTGCCAAACTTTTCGCTTATCGGTCGGCGGGTGGTGGGCGGCAGCAGCAGGCAAACAAACAAACAATATCAACATTTATGTTTGGCATTTGCGATACGAGGGGCACACGCTCCATTCGCTCACATGACTGCGGTATCAACTGTGGCCGCTGATCTGCGATCAAATAGTGCTGCGCTGGTGTTTTTTGGCAGCTATTTCTGTCCGTTATCGGCGGGCGTGAAGTTTTTGTGGGCTAGGCACGTGCCGCTCTCCCTTTCGTTTGCGTACTCTCTTTTTCTCCAGGTGTATCTCACGTGCTGTCGAGGTGGCGTTTGCTACACTCGATAAAATATTTGGAAGATAATAATACAAAATTTATAAAAATGTTTTTTACAAAAAAGAGTTCCTAAAAAATAATTGCAACTATGAAAATTACTTATTTAAATTTAAACTTAAACATCTAATTAGTCTAATTAAAATATTTTGTAATTTTTATTAATTTTTGGGGTAATGGATTTTGATTAATTTTTTATTTTATAATTAAAAATTTATTAAATTCAGTATATTATTTTCTAACTCTTTATTATTCCTTTTTTCAGGCCAACTTCAAGTCGAGTCCCGTGCCCAAAACGGGCGGCAGCACTTCGGAGTCGGAGGACGCAGGCGGTCGCCACGACTCGCCGCTTTCGATGACCACCAGCGTCCACCTGGGCGGCGGTGGGGGCAATGTGGGCGCGGCCAGTGCCCTGAGCGGTCTCGGCCAGTCGCTGAGCATCAAGCAGGAGCTGATGGACGCCCAGCATCAACAGCAGCATCGTGAACACCACGTGGCCCTGCCGCCCGATTACTTGCCGGTAAGTCCAGTCAGTCAGTCAGATTAGTCGATTAAATAGAGGACATTTCAATTTTTGATTGATTTTCGATTATTGATTATGATTTTGTTGCTGCTGCATCGTTTAGTTTGTTAAGGTTTTTTCTTTTTTTGAACCGGTTCGATGGTTCCAGCTATTGTACAGAAAACCCTTCTTGTAAAGCCTTTTTGTTAAATCATCTCTATATGTACCCCTAAGCTAGCCAATTGCAAAATGCTTCCCCAAAAAGTATACACGAAACAGCCAAGCTCAAGCTGCCCTAAAATTGTATTCTTATAAAATTTTAAGTAAATCAAAGCAAAGTGGGGGCAGAACGAAGGATTGGTGAATTGCGTTTAATTGAATTTTCCAAATTCGAAGCGGAATATCGGCCAAAGAAAAAGAAAAAATCTCAACAATGCTGTGCGTCTCAAGCAAATGTAAAGGATAAAGTAAAGTAAAGACCAGACCAAACCAGAAAAATCCTTCCTTCTATCAGATCCATGTTTTGCCAACACAATTTTCTCAATCCTGCGTGTAGGTGAAAAAGGCAGAGGCATTTTTAGGTAGCACTGGCAACAAGTCCATGCACCAAATGCTCTTGCACCAGGCGGTGGAGGCTCAGCTGAAGAGTTTGCAGCTGCATTACCAGAACGAGGGCTTGGACTCGGCCATGCAGAGATTGCTGGCCCAGCAGCAGCAACATCAGGAGCAACACCAGCAGCAGCAGCAACTGCAGTCGGTGGGAAAATCCCTTAGCCCGGCGATAGCATCGGGATCTGGCGGAGGAAGTTCACGGAAAAGCGGTCGATTCCGGGCCAACTGGCTCTACCAATTCGAGTGGCTGCAGTACGACGAACGGGCCAACACCATGTTCTGCAGACATTGCCGCAAATGGAGCGGCGAACTGGCCGATATACGCACCTCCTTTGTGGAGGGCAACTCCAATTTCCGCCTGGAGATCGTCAATCATCACAACAAATGCAAATCGCACCGCCTGTGCTATGAGCGCGAACTCCAGGAGCAGCAACAGCACCCGACGCCCAGTGGAAGTGCCAGTGGCAGCGGCAACAAGCGACGTTCCCCCGACATCATCACCATAAATGTGGGCAAGAACAGCGCATAGAGACAGGTCCTCGCAGAGGACCCCACACACACCGCTCAGGATTAGCCTTAGGCCTTAGCATTAAAACGTGTTAATCAAATAAATAATATTATATGTTTAGAAACCTAAGAATTTGGCAGCAGTCGTGAGCAAAAAAGCAGCCGTTTTGCTATGGCATACATTTTACAATAAAATGAGAACTTAATTAAAAAGCGTGACAGCATTTTGCAATTGGACAAATAAAAAGGCTTTAATGTTCACCAAAGCGATATACATTTTTAGGAAAATTTACCTTACATTCTAGAACAATAGCATTTCATTCAAATAACTAATGTAGAAAAATATGAGAAAATGTTTTTTTTTATTTTTCACAATACAATATTCAAAGATTTTTGTAGGTTTAACGTTTTTGTAATTAACGTACAAAACATAAAATAATTACATTGTTTATTTTAAAAGTGGAAACCTTGGAGGCAGCCTTTAGATCTGCTTCCCACTTTCTCGAAATTTTAGGAATCCTTTTAGAAGCTCTTGACTTTACTTACTATATCCCCTTTACCCTCTCTCCCAATTTCTGGCTGCCACCCAAGAGCGCTGCGCTGAAGATGCACGCCGAGGACATGTCGACTCTGCTGACGCAGCATGCTTTGCAAGCAGCAGATGCGCGGGAGGATCACAACGATAGCAAACAGCTGCAGCTTGATCAGACGGACAACATCGACGGTGAGTACTGACCACAGAGCATTGCCATTTAGCCATTTAGCCTTAGCCAGAACCGAGCTAGCACCACTACAACTACAACTACTACAAGTAAACCACACACAAAAGAATCTTCTTCTCTCTGAGCTTTTGAATACCTAACGCACTCGAAAACCGAAAGAATATCTTACCTTATGTATCTGTATATTGCGTATGTAATTTGTTATTAGCTTTTGGTTGATATACAACTTTTTTTTGGTTTAACCAACTTTGTTTCCACCATGCGTTCAAGAAAAGCGAGAAACCCCTTTTAAAAAAAATATATATATATTGAGAAACTGTAAAGAAAACTGTAGAATATTTGTAGCTTAATTTCCGTTCCTTTCCTGGCCCCTGCCCCGTATTTAAAATCTAACCCAAATGAGAAAATCTATTATAATATATATTTAAGTAGATTAAACCCCTGGAGATTCCCCTTAGATCCTCAGAAAAAAGATGTATAAATTGGGGAGGAAAATGTTGGTTGAGATATATTTATGAATTTAATCAGAAGAACATCCATAAAGCTCCAATTTATACGTTTATTTCCTGACAGTTCCTGCATGCATTAAATTATACCCCGAAACTCCCTTCCGCATTCTTCCAAGCCCTGAGACAAGTAATATCCCTATTTTGTATGCTTTTGTAAGTGCAGTACCTTTATTTGTGCTATGTATTTATCGATATACTCCGAATGATAGATCCTAAGAGAAGTAAGACCCAAAGTGCTAGCTAGAGCAACAGATCAACACCTCTCCTACCAGAATATCTCTCTACATGCATATCTTTATTATTTCGTTGTTTGTCGTATATTATGGTATTCTATATTGAGATATATACTTAAATCTAGCTTTTAGGACGAGTTTTCCATTCGAGCTGGGACTGGATCGTGATTTCGATTGCGGTTTTAGTCTTTAGACGTATGTTTGCCGCATGTTGCATGTTTTATGACGCCTATAAATAGACATAGACACACATACACACACCTACATAACTTCGATACACTCCCACACCCTCACATAAACACATACGATTATCATTTACGTTTCGATTTATTTTAATTTTATATGTATTATTTTAAACTTATCAATTGATTTCACCTTCTTCATGCTGTCATAACTAGTCCTAAGTCAGTTCGAATATTACAAAAAAAAATCTAACTAGTTTTTAGAACAAAATGCCTCCGTTGTCATCCAAAAACCAGAAACAAATAGCTTAATTGGCGAACAAAACAACAAAAACCAAACACTAATAAATAATAAAATATATAATCATACAATAAAAAACATAAACAATTTCAAATTCAAATTAATTTCATTAGATACACGCGTAGTTATTTTCCTAGCGCTTTTCGTTTGAATTTTGCCCCCAAATTAAATTTTTTTTGACTTTTACTCATTCTTTATTTTTTTCTATACTTCATTTTCAAAACTCTGCTGGAAAAATAAATTCCATTCCGAAAAATAAACATGAAAACCCTATAAAATTTTTCCAAATCTCTTTTCGTCTTTAATGTTGCAACTTATTGTCTAAGAAATGAAAACTAAACGAAAAAGCAAGCAAACAAAAAAATATATATAATATTTTCAGTGTGAATACGAAATCTAAAAAAAAAATCAAGCTTCCAAAATCGATGTGTTCTTTTTTCCGTTATTTCCGCACACACCAACACAAGCCCACCCACACTCACAAAAACACTCGCCCACACACAGATACAGACTGTACTTTTCCCTCTTTTGGATATTTCTACTAACATTGCTGCATTTATGATTTGATGTGAAGAATCCGTTGAACCATATTTTGTCACACTGTTTTTAACGAGATAACTGTAACTGACTGTCTGTGTTTTTTCAATTGGTTTTTCTGCCAAGCTAACTAAGTGTATTCCAACTATCTTTCTTTTGCCTACTCTCTTTCTATCTCTCTCTCTCTGTCGCTCTCTCTTTCTGTACTTAACTGTCTGTGTGTGTGTATGCTTGTGTCTGTGTGTGTTGCACATATCCTTTAAAAGTTTAAACGAGAGCAGCCGCCAAAATAACGGTAAAGTGTAAAGGAGAGCGACAAAATTCGCACAAACAACTACAACTGATTACAAAAATTTGAAATGAAATTAAATCGAAATTGAAATTGAAATTACCTTACAGCTAAAAGAAAAAAAACCCCGCACCCAGCGCCCAAAAAACCCTCACCACCTTCAAAACCAACAAAAATCGAAAAGAAAAAGAACTGGAATTTGCTAGTATAACAAAAGAGTGTAATAATATAATACTTAAATAAATATATACGTATATAAACACCAAGCCAAACTATATAAAAAATCTGTTGCAACATTGAAGTACTAAAACGAAAATTATCCCAGTAAAAAAAAGAACACCAAAAAAACCGAAATATTGTGTATGAGAACTGTATTATAAAGAATCAAAAATGCCAGACTTTAAGATATAAGCCCCACCGAAAAATTGTCGATGCTACAAAATGACACGAAACCAAAGTTGTTTACATTGATTTTGTTTTACTTACGTATGATTTTTCCCAATCCGTTTCACACTGTTCACACTGTTGATTGATTGATTTGCTTTGATGCAGAGTATATTTCATTTAGCTGAATTGTTTTCTTAGAGCTATAAAGTCCTGCCGATCCGAAACGATGCCGCCTTAGCTTTAAGTCCAGCCTTGATTTGATTTGTTTTGTGTTTTCCACAGACTCTGCCAATTGTATGATTAAGACTCTTGATTTGACTTGATTCCACTTCCACCTCCTCCTCCGCCCTTCGATCGATCTGTATATTATGATTTCCAGGCTTCGCTATTTTGCCTCAGCCTCGACTCCCAGCCCCATAAAACCCTGCCGATCACTTGACTTGTGTTTTGCCTTACGTTTTATATCTTTTGGTCACCACACGCATTCAAACACAACGTTTGTTCCAAAATCAAAACGAAATGGAAATATCCTAGAACCAAAACACACAGAACCCCGATTCGTAGCTGACTTTTGCTCCATTCTTCTTGCATTTCCCCAAAAAACAAAAATACACCGGTATTAGGGTGAGCCGGTCGAAATAAAAAATATAATATTTGTAAAATTTTTAAAAAGGTAATGCTATTGTTGAATATTTATTCAGCTTTAGTTTGAACTGTTTGAAAAAGTCTTAGTTGGATAGGAGATTTTTTAAACTCTATTTCAAACATTTTTATTAAAAAATTTTATTTCCATTATTTTTGCATACAATTTGAGGATTTAATTTCAATAATTAAATGTTCAGTAATAAAAGGTATACATTATAGAACAAAATTAAAAAAAATATATGTTTTCAAGTTATTTGTTCCTATTTGTACTATACGTTTTATAGCCATTAATTTGGTTGATCAATGTAAAATTATAAGAGTTTCATTAAAAAAAAAAAGGATTAAAATAATGTAATTGATTTTGAAGAGGAATTTTTCTGAAAAGAAATATTGGCCCACCCTAATCGGTACATTTTTACACTTAATATACACGCGATTTTGTTGCCTTTCTCCTTCCATGGCTACTTAGTTGAATTTAGACATATCCACACCCACCGTACACACCCGAAGGCCATTGGCCATTGGCCTTTTGCCCACTGTGCGCATGGAATGCAAGAGAAGCGCGATCGAGTCCCTAGCCTCTTCATCTCTATATCCACCCCTTCAGTTCCCACCCCCACAGTGATGACGCCTAATATGAACCAAGCAAATGTTTGCAGGTCGCGTCAAGTGTTTTAACAGTAAGCACGATCGTCATCCGGATCGGGAACAGGATCGAGTTCATCGGGAGCACGATGAGCAAGGCGAAGTTGTTGATGAGGTCGTTGTGGATCGGGATCGCGATCGCGACATGGATGCGGAGGAGGATCACGAGCCGGAGGACATTGAGGAGGCAGCCATGCCATATCATAACGCACCCCCCAAATACAGAAGGGCGGTGGTCTATGCTCCGCCGCATCCCGACGAGGAGGCGGCCTCTGGCTCGGGCTCGGATATCTATGTGGATGGAGGCTACAATTGCGAATACAAGTGCAAGGAGCTGAATATGCGGGCTATACGATGCAGCCGCCAGCAGCATTTGATGTCCCACTATCCGCCGCACCACCCGCATCATCGCTCCCTCATGGATTGCCCCGCTGAGGCGGCCTACTCACCTCCGGTGGTCAATAGCCAGCAGGCCTACCTGGGCAGCAATGGATCGCAGTTGGATTTGAGCAGCTATCATGGAGGCCACCATCATCATCAGCACCACCATCATCATCCGCATCCGCCTCCCTTGCCAGCACCACCGCCACCCAGTCACTCGCAAAGCTCGCCGCACTATCCAACCGCCTCGGGATCATCGGGATCGGTATCGGTTTCAATAACAGGATCTGGATCGGGATCAGGATCGGCGGCAGGATCAGCCATCTCGGCACCAGCTTCGGTGGCCACCTCGGCGGTTTCCCCGCAGCCCAGCTCCAGTTCCACTGGATCCACCACCACTTCCTCCTCGGCGGCGGCAGTGGCTGCGGCAGCTGCGGCGGCGGCCAATCGGCGGGATCACAACATCGACTACTCCACCCTGTTCGTCCAGCTGTCGGGCACCCTGCCCACTTTATATAGATGCGTGAGCTGCAACAAGATCGTCTCGAATCGCTGGCACCACGCCAATATCCATCGACCTCAGAGCCACGAGTGTCCTGTTTGCGGGCAGAAATTCACGCGAAGGGACAATATGAAGGCCCACTGTAAGATCAAGCATGCGGACATCAAGGATCGATTCTTTAGCCACTATGTACATATGTGATCACTTCTCTAGGCAGGCAGCAAAACAAATCAAATCAAAGGAGATCAGTTACAGTAACAGATCGAAAGGTTTTCACACAACTAGCGTGTTTTAGGTAACCAAGAATCAAGCAAACGTATACGTAATCTAGAGTGAGGAGAAGCCAACAGCCATCAGTTGGGTGTACATCTACATATATATCTATTTAAAAACCTTATAAATCAAAAGAAAATAGAAAAACAAAAACAAAAACCTATGCTACACGTAGTTGATTTCAAAGACTTTAAACCATTTACTTATTGTTAAATCGTCTAAACCTCTAGATGCTTTTTTGTAGGACACTAGCGAACCAAATGGATTATTATATCGATATTTAGAAATACCGCGACCAGTACTCAGTGGAGGGAAACTTTGACAAGTATTATATGTAGAATTCCAATCGATTTCCGCGTCAGTTATTATTATTATTTTATTTACTTACTTAACATGTGCTGTAGTGAATGTTGACTAATTTTTGTTCGTGTCATTTTGTGCCATATTAGCTAATCTCTCTTCTAGTCCATAGGCCCTAAGGTCGCAAAAAGATAATTAAATACAAGCGTAAAATAATAGAGAAAATTGCGAGAAAGCAACGAGTGAGGCAACAACCAAAGTTTATATAATTGGTTGAAATATTTTTGAAAAATAATTCTCTAATACACACAATTTTGTCTCACTTCTGATCAAATTCGTTTGGCAAAAAATTCAGCTAGCGTCCAATTTCAAACCGTTTGGCCAGAGCCCCCAGAGAAAAGTATCGGGAATCTGAAGTTGGACGCTCTCCTGATCTGCACACATCTTTGGCAAAACACCCACCGAAGTTGATTGGAGTTGCATACGAAGCGAATAAAATTATTAAATTTACCACTGACGATTCAGTGCTTTGCTAAGGAATAAATTCAAATCAGATTTTATCAAAAAATGTACTTAAACAATAGACATAGATATAGACACCAATCAAGCAATGAATCCAATTAATAAACACTTAAATACAGATATATACAAGTACATATATGTGAAACGGATAAATCAATATTTAACATCTTTAACTTTACTTAATAAATCTCTTTCAAATCAAATTCCAGTTCTTTTCATTCAATAAATACGACAAAAAAGGTCCCCTAGGTATAAGCAACTAAAAACGCAATTAATGAACAATAAATGAAATTCATAAAATTATTTCGAATTAAAAAAAACCAATCCAAATTTAAATACAAAATTTAAAAACATCAAGCGCACTCTCTTAACGGTAAGTTGAAATTTCTAAGATCTATTTAAGCACAAATACCTCCCCCTTAATTTAGAATTATGTTACCTAAGTTACAATTATATATATCTGATTTATGTATTATGATTTTACTTTAAAAAGAAAAGCTACAAATTCGAACAATACTAAAGAAAACAGAAAAAAAACAGGAATTGGCCAAATGATTGAAAATTTGATTTAGTTATTTAAACTTTTTTAAACGAAACACTTGCCTCTACTCACTCACTCACTCGATCTATCTATCCTACTCTATAGCTCTATTTCTCTCTCCCTCTAAAACTCGGTCTGTCTCACTTTGTCTTGTTTTCGCTCTATATATATTGTATGCAGTGTGTCTCGTTCTGTTTTGGACGAGGATCTAAATTTGTTTTTGTTCTGCCAGGCAGGAGGGGTGTTGAATTAAATGCGTTCGATAAACGATAAACGACATTCGATTTTCGATATACAATATACGATATGCCTTGTCTTATCGTCGTTGCTGCGCTACAGTTATTTCGTTTAGTCTTCATCCGAAATCAGTCATATTATTTACTTGTTTTGTCTCATTTTTTAACCTCATCTGCGTTTTTTGGCCCTCCACTGACCCTTGACCCCCTCTCGCTCACTCTCTGTCCCCCTCCAACTTATGTACATTCACAAAAACAATATAAACACCAACCCCTCCGCAAAACCCCCTCGAAAATAATGACAACAATTAGACACTAATACGGTTCTTGGGCTCTCTTGACAAAGAAATTAACAAAGAAGCTGAAAAGAAAACGAAACCGAATCGGAACCAACAATCATCTAATTAAAAATAAATAGAACATTACTACTAGATCTTATGTCTTATTAAGCGTCCAAACACGAATCATTTTCACATACATACATATAATTTGGTTTGGGTTCCTCAATATCCAATTCAGTCGCCCCACCGATTATTGTAAATAATTCCCCTTGAGTATTTTAAGTGAACCCATTGTCATGGACGATAGATCATTTGATTTGCATCCTAATTTTTTACATAGCAATAATGTTCCTACCCTTCCCCCGTTCAAGTGTTGTTCTACATTTCCCAATTTCTCGAAAACCCATGGAAAAAAGAAAGAAAAACAAATTCTTAACTGTATTTATTTATCGATTTTTTGGGTGTAACAAAATTTGATTGCGAAAAATTAAAAGTATATATATTCGAAAATAAACCCCCCTATCACAAGAAGAGTGTCTCTGCCCAACATAACACCATGTCTCAGGGATATGAACAAAATTGATTTAACAATCATTCGTTACAGTTTCAATCATTCTTTCCATGGTAAAAAAAAAAAGAAAACAGAAATTACTACCAGAATACCAAGCATAAAACACACACACACCAAACACACACACAAACACACGCAGACTCTGAAAACCATCTAATTATACAGTTTAAGAATTATTATAAAAATGATTTTTCTGTTTCTGTGAATCACCAACAACAACATTGTTTTTCTCTTCTTTTTTTCTTTGCGCGTTTGAACGAACAAATTAATAAAAATAAAAAAAACCGAATCCGAAAACGAAACTGAAAAATCCATAATAAAAATAAAAAACCAAAAATAACAAAAATTCAATCAAATCAAATACAATTAATTGCGCAGGCTCCAAGGCCTGGCACATGCGGCTAACCTTCGAGCGGCTCTCGGGCGGCTGCAACCTGCACCGTTGCAAGCTGTGCGGCAAGGTCGTCACCCACATCCGCAACCACTACCACGTCCATTTCCCGGGCCGCTTCGAGTGTCCGCTCTGCCGGGCCACCTACACGCGCAGCGACAACTTGCGCACCCACTGCAAGTTCAAGCATCCCATGTACAATCCGGATACGCGCAAGTTCGACAACCTAATGTCCTCGTCGGCGGTGGGGGCGGCTGCCACGCCCACGGCCAGCCAATTGGCGGTGGCCTCTCAAGCGGCAATGGCAGCGGCAGCCGCGGCGGCCTTTAATGCAGCGCAGCAGCAGCAACAGCAGCAACATCAACACCAGCAGCAGCAACAACACCAGCAATCGCAGTCCCAACAGCAGCAACAACAGCAGCAGCAATCCCAGCAGCAACTCCATGCCCTCGCCCAGCAACACATGTTGCAGCTGCAGCCGCAACACCACCAGCAGCAGCAACACAATGCCACAAGTGAATGATACAGTCAGTACCTGGGCTGGAACTATGGCGCCTGGCGCCACGATGACCACAACCTCAAGCAGCAGCAGCAACAGCAGCAGCAGCAACATCGCAAGGCTCCGCCCTTTAACTTTTATGCCCGCGACTATTACTACCAGCAACATCAGCAGCAGCAGCAGCAACAGTCACCGATCAGCAACGGCAACATGCGACAACAGCAGCAGCAGCAGCAACATCGACGACAGCAGCAACATCAGCCTGCGCAGACGATCATCATCGATGAGAGCGACAATGAGCTGGAGGAGGAGCAGCAGATGAGGCTGAATTTCGAGCGATATATGGAGCAGCTGAAGCAGCTGGCGCCCTACGATCCCCAAGAAACTTTGTGCAATAGCAATAGCAACACCAACATTAACATTAACATGAACAGCAGCAACAGCAGCGGCGAGCCCAAAAATGCCAATCAAATGGAAGCTACTACAACTACTACTAATAGTAATAATAATAATAACAATAGTTATGCTAACAACAGTACTAGGGACTACAGCAAACAGGAGTAGCAACAGCCACAGCAAGAGCAACAGCAACCAATTGATACTCAAAGCAAAAAGTTAATTTAGATGAGAAACGCGAATAAGATCTTAAATGTTGAAACGATTTAAGGGTAAGCCAAATTTATTTGTCAATTATGTAGGCGAAATACGGAGAGGAGAGGATAAATTGCCGGCTGCGAGAAGGAATCTAATGCTGATCTAATCTGAGCAGAAGGCGACACATTGTCATGGTTTCAACTAGATACGGATGTTGCAGTCACACGAACACAAAAACACACGCACTTATATACAGTACAGTAAGAGAATCTATTCGTAAAGGAGTTTTAATTGTAAAAGTCTGTAAAAGGGTTTCCAAGGCAGCCAAGAAGAGGGTGGAAAGTAGGGCGAAAAAGAAAACGGTTTTAAACTAACAGCACTCAAAAATTTACAAGAAGAAAAACAAAATGCTTGACCTTAACTTAAACTAATTGTATTTCAAGAACTACTCTCATATATGGAATTACAAATTTTACAAATTAAAATCGTTGGACCTGTCAGACATTTGTGCCAAAATCTCTTGGTGGTAGTGCCAACTTCCTTGGCTGCACTCTCTCTATTTGCACCTGTTCGTTGTTGCATTTAACATTAATATATGTGCACACCCCCAACCGAAACCACATACCCCCAAAAACAACACCACATTAACCCACCCGGAAACCACTCTGATACTCTAAAAAAAAAACAAACAAAAAAGAAGGAAAGAAAGTTAGGAGCAAACACCGAACATTGAAGACATTTTAAACAAGAGAGATTTCTATGCTGCTAACCATTTTACTGTTTTATATAAATGTATAATTAATTACGACCTAATGAATGTCATGTTTTACGCAAAAGAATAACCACAATTGTAAAATAGAATGATAGCGCTAATGGAATTTAATCGATATTTATAAAACAATATTCAACGGGATTTTCTCTGCATATAGATGTATCTATGTATGATGTACAAATCGGTGCGTTTGATCGATGTTAGTTGACCTTGAAGACATGCATTATGGCAGCCCTAATCTTAGCGAAGCAGTTTTAAACTAATCTAAATCTAATCTAATCTAAACTAAACTAATTCACTGATTACGGATACTAAACTAATGTTAATTTATTTATAACCATCCTGGGAGTGTGTGCGAATGAGTCTCGAACTGAGCGATGGCCAATGGATCTGCTACGATCGATCCGATCCGATCTGATCTGATGTATTATAGTTAGCGACAACATCGCCAGATCCAATTGTCATGATGCATGTGACCGAGTTTGTTATCCAGTCTATATATAATATACCTACTTATATACACATGCGTGAGCTATTATTAATTTTTGCAGACTCGTCTTACGGTGTAAATATGATTGATGATTCTCCCACGATTTCTGCTAGTTAATGTATATTTAAAATCAGTTTTTTTGTAATTTGTTGTTGTACATTGATTGCCAAATCCCCGATATTGGTGCGCACACACACACACACAAACAAACATGAGCATATGCAAACACATACACACACACAAACAAAAACGTCTAAATGCCTAAAGAATTAATGCATAATTCTATTAAATATATAGTTATATATTATAAACACACATATTCATAATATTTATTTGTTCTACTTCTTAACATGAAATGTTTAGT